ACTTACATATACGATGTCATAAAAACTTTTTCGTCTGAGCGGTTAACAGGCCCGATCAGTGGCGTAAAGATGACCCCACCACCCACATAAAAAGTAATTGGGGCCTCTGCATTTAACTTAATAGAATAGTGCAACCACCCTTTAGTTCAAACAAATTAAATTGTATGTTTCTCCCCTTATTGGCAATTCTTAAATTTGTCAGGCTCTTTGTTTGTTCGGGCCCCTCCCCGCAATTGCGTGGGCATACTTATCACTGGGCCTGATGAGAATATATTCTTGAAGTATCTTTACCAACAACACTATCAATGAATGAATCCCACTGATTCCTACTTGGAGCCCCTTTTCGAACTGTATTGTCTTGTTGTTACTTGTTTATCTAAACACATATTTGACCAAAGGTTGTATGTGTCTGCTTATAACTGAAGAACCGCACAACAGATCATCACAACCTGGAATGTACCCATAGGAGAGTAACATAAAAGATTGGCGTTCGGATCTCACCTCACCTTATGTCACTCTTCTGGGGTCCCTATGTCTTCCACGTGAGTGGTGTTCGCTTTTAACTGGCGAAAATCACGCTTTGAAATCGTACTTGTGTTATAAAAGAGACGGTAAAATCCCATTATTCGATCACACAAGAACAGCCTAAGAGTTGAAGATGAGTACTGTTGACTACCTATTATTTTTTATACTTTTATTCTATGATTTCTTCCCATGTATGAAACAACAGAAGTACGACCAGGTGCAAAAGTACTTACGACTGTATCGCCAGATGGCACTGAAAATGATTTAACTGTTTAAACGTTAAACTGTTGTGTTCCAGAAGTGACCAACACAAAATACTCCGAAACTGTAAACGAAGGAGGAGGAGAGCTACAAAATGTCTCTTATTGATTGTATTGAAACTTTAAATGACAATAACAATATCCTTCGAAGTTTTTGAGATTTTACGCGCATTTTCTGTAAAATTAATTGTGTTACTTGAATATGAATTGCATTTTAACCATTTAGCTATTGAATGATGCTGCAGAATTATATACTTGTTAATTTCAGCAGTGGAAAGCAAAATAGACAAATTAGTCTGCTTGTTTTTTGTTAAGGGCAAAGCTTCAAAATGGGTTTTCTATGTCGTGCTCACCTTAGGGATTAAACACTGAATTTTAAGGCAAAATAGTAAAATAACTTCGTGAGATGGATTACCCTTAAATAAACTTTGAAATAATTTCCTACATAGACTTATTATATGGTGAAGTAAGAACGTTTCGGTTTCAAAGTTAAAAAAAACCTTCACATCTACACTCCTTTGTATTATCAATGGGCCTAGCAGGATAGGATGTGGAGCTGAGGTACCCTGGTTCGCATTCCATTTCTACCAAAAAATAAATACATAAATAAACCGTGATACTCACTTTGGGGCCACGAGTACGTTATAAGAATGATAGTTAAATCCCACTATTCGGTTTCAGAAGATTAGTCCGATGGTTGGTGATGAATGGCGTTGATTAGCTGCCTTTTCTTTAGTCTATCACTTCAAACTTAGGAATGGCTAGCTGAGATAACAACAGCAACAACAAAAACAAAAAATAAACAAGCCTTACCAATATGGCCCATGTCCTCAGCTGCTTAATAGTGGGTCTTAGGGTTTTTCACACTAAAGATTTTGTTTCAATACCCGCAATGAACGAAGCACAGACAGTCCACTGTGTACCTATGAGCTTAACAACAAATAAACAACGTTACAATTCTATCTATCCCTGACTGGAGGCAAAGCTAGACGGGTGGGGGGCAAAGGGGGCAACTGCCCAGGGGCCCGGTCGAATGAAACCTGGTTATGCCGTAAAGCCCGCAAAGCATCTTTAGGCTATATCTTCATTTAATGATAAAAACCATAGTTTCTGGTTTTTCTTTGCATATAGACGCTTGATACATTAAGAACGACTAAAATGATACTTTGAGTAATAACTAATATGTATTTGTTACTTTATAGATTTAATAGATATTTGTTGTTACTTTATTGACCTTTAAATGCTTATAATGTGAGGTAATAACGGCTGCTGCTATGATTTTGTCTGGTTTATGAGCTCGTTGATGTCCTAATTTAGGATCTTCTTTTTAATAAATTGTTGAAAATGTTAAAAAAGAGATTGAGAGAAAGGGGGCTCGGTGAGGATATTTGCCCCGGGGACCCGGGCTGGCTCTCGACGTTCCTACCGACTTACAACACTAAAAATATGGGTTTCGACTCCCCATGTCAGACAGGCCGTAGATGACCCATTGTGTAGCTATAACAACAACAGAATGGCTTTATATACATATTTTGAAATGAATTAATCTTTCATCTGTGTGTGTGCGGGACAATTTACAATGGTGTCAAGTACAGAAGTGACAAATATGGGACAATTTACAACGGTGTCAAGTACAGAAGTGACAAATATGGGACAATTTACAACGGTATCAAGTACAGAAGTGACAAATATGGGACAATTTACAACGGTATCAAGTACAGAAGTGACAAATATGGGATAATTTACAACGGTGTCAAGTACAGAAGTGACAAATATGGGACAATTTACAACGGTGTCAAGTACAGAAGTGACAAATATGGGATAATTTACAACGGTATCAAGTACAGAAGTGACAAATATGGGACAATTTACAACGGTATCAAGTACAGAAGTGACAAATATGGGATAATTTACAACGGTGTCAAGTACAGAAGTGACAAATATGGGACAATTTACAACGGTGTCAAGTACAGATGTGACAAATATGGGATAATTTACAACGGTGTCAAGTACAGAAGTAACAAATATGGGACAATTTACAACGATTATATAATTTCGATTATATTTTAAAGAGCACCTTCTCCCACAGAGATGTCTCCAAGGCGTTAGTATGACAACAAATGAAAAGCAAATTTTTTTATGGTATAATCCAAAATTTTTAAAATTAGCTTTGGATTTTCTTTGTAGAACATAGAAATTTATTTTAAGTTTTTTTTAGTTTAATAATAATGATGAAAGCTTATAAAAATATCGTTACTTTCCATACCTAAAAGATGACTAACTCATTTTAATATGCTTGATATAAATTACTGATGAAGGATAAAGTTTCTTTATTTATATTTTATTGCTTATCTTTATTTGTACACTGAATTAGCTATCATGTTTGATTGTATATAGTTGAGTTAATTCTCTGGAATTGATATTAATGCGACACATGATATAAATGTTCAGGTCAGGCATAGTCACTCCTAACTTAGAACTGCTAACTAGAAGGAGGGCAATCAGTCAACAGCACCCATCGCCTATATGGCTGTTCTTAATCGATAGTAAGATTGTCTGTAATATTTATAGTGTATTCATCTGAAAATGAGGTGTATGACCAGCAGCTTAATCACGGTTCGAACCTTAGTCTAGCATGCTAACCATTAGATCATGCCATACCCCATTTGATTGCAAATCAACTTATAACAAACTATCAAAGCAACTACATTAAAAAAGCACTTTCTACAGATTTGCTAAACTGATACAGGTTTAAATATTTTTAAATATATGCTATTAAAATACAAGCTTAAAACTTTGTGAAATATTTGCGATCACCAGTTAATACATCACTCAATTAGAGGTGCAGAAAGATGAGCTCATCATGCGAGTTCCTGAGTTATGTTCTTTTTAGCTGCGGCATAGCTCTGAGTTTTTCAAGTACAAACTTTTAGTTCTTAGCTCCGTCATCTCTTGACCAATTTGAGATCTAATTACAGTTATGGACTCAGGAGGTCAAACCCTTTCGTTTGAAGTATTTGACCATGTCGAAGGTCTCATAGATTAATTTACTCTAATCCTGCCTAAAATAATTTAATATTGGGTAGGCTGGTAGAGATCCTGATGACTAATAAAATCGAATCGGGTATACGCGTCCCCCCACGCTTAGTGTTGCTGGTGCATGAAAATATAGCTAATAAAAAGCTAAAAATGGTATCACAGCTTAATTTACTCTAGTCCTGCCTAAAAGAATTTCAAGTGCCACGGCTATTGAGGATACCCTCTTGTTTTTTTTGTGTGTGTTATTTTTTTTGTTGTTTTCGGAGTGTAGAGTGAAGATATTTAGCTAAAAGACGTCTGTTTATTTGCTTCAAACTTTTCACGCAAAGCTACATAAAGATCTATTTACGTAAAGTCGCCCTTAATTTTGAACTGATAGACTAGAAGAAATTCATGCTGTTAAGAAAACATGCAAGTAGAAATCAATTAAAAACAAAAAATAAGAAACCTCATAACCCAAGCGATTTCGAAAAGTAGGCCTTTCTTCATTAGGGACAAATATGAGTAGACTAGAGGGAATGTAGCTAGTTAACAGCACCTATTACCAATTATTGAACTACTCTTGTGTTTGACCGACTACTGGGATTTGACCACCGTTTTTACAGCAAATCTACGGTCTCATAGTGCAGAGCGGTAAACCATGAACCCTCGGATCGACAGTCCGAGCACACTAAGCTCTTAGGCCACGTCCCGCCCTAAAATGAGTCGTTTATGTATCATGAATATTTAACGACGCTCATAACAGAGCAGAATCTTTCTCTATATGTAATAAACCTCTGTAAAATATTCACGAGGCTTACTAAACGAGGCATCAGAGCTGTAACAGCACTGATTGTATGTTATGTCACGCTGTGTAAAAGAAATAATGACCAAACACATACTATCAGTATTTACTTGTGGAATACTTTTGATGTTGTTGAAAAGACAGCTCAATACCGTACCAAGTACGGACTGTAAATGGCCCAAATATGTTTCCAAGGTAACGTAAAACTTTTCCTCAACAAGCCTTGGTGGCGTCATATCTGCTATTGTACAGAATTATCAAAAAATAAGTAATTGTGTACTCAGAAAAATATTGTAGACTTCATGCTGAGGATTTATGCGTAAATATAAAGTCACTGTACCAAGCGGCAACTGCTGGTTTTATATGACACGTGGAAACTATTTCGACAAAAGCCAGAAATAAGGAAAACACAGAACTGTTGTGAGTGGTAAGAATAAAGTATTATTATTCTTTGTGCCAACACTTGTTACGTGCCCTTGACAGATAGGTGCGGAGAGTGGACGCCTGAAATTTGATGTTTCTTGTTCCTGCACATTTAAATTTTACTTTAAAACGAAATAACAAGAATCATAATATGGACCGAAATATTAGTTCCTGAAAACTGAGAGCCCAGAATACTAAGGTCAAACTTTCGGCACCTGTAGCACTGCCTGTCAGTCAAGGTAAAGAACGATCCATTAAAATATGAGTTTAAAAAAAATATATATTAAGACATTTTGAGCAAACACTCTTCGTCAAGTGGTTGCACATTAGCGAATGCTCGAAGCGTCTAAGTAATTATTTCTCTTTTCTCCGGTTTTTAATATAAATTTTCAATTTCAAAGTCGTTTTCATTTATTGCTTTCATCAGTGCGTTTTATTTGAACGTTTTCTTTTATAAACGCCTCATTTTAGTGTATTTTGCGATGCACTCTCTATGCGAGATAAATCTGATAAATAGAGAATAACATTTTTAATACTGAATTTCGAATAATAATAATTGGACAAAGTATTTTTTTCTCAAAAAATAAATATAGATATGTACAAGTTTATATGTGTGTGTTGTCAAATATGTCTTTGCTAATATAATAGATTACTCATTTTTTCCTTATTATTTTTTGTGACAGTAGGGGTATCTTTAAAGAAAAAGCTAAAATTATTTTACATAACACTAAGTTTTAATTCTATTTTAGCCTGTACTATAGAAATCAGGATCGTTTTAGGATATGTACACGCTGAGAAATGTTTCAACATTTTTATAATGTCCAGAAGAGGTTATGCAGAATTGCACTGCAAATACTTTTTCCGTGATCTTTATAAAAACTTGTGACATAGAAACTAAATAGATAATTAGAAATGGAACAATTAAATATAACTGTGAGAAGTGGGTAATTTAGGTTTAGGTTAGAACGGATTAAAATTTCAATTTGAACGCATCTTATGCGATTAGATGTCTAGACTGTTAGGTCAAAGATGCTTATAGTTTAAGTGTAATCGTCCCTAATTTTGAAATACTGACAAGAAAGAAGGTAACCAGAAAGCAGCACCCGCAGCCACAATGGCTTAGTCAGGTTTTTGTGTCGAATAAGAGAAGTAGTTGACACATTTCTAAAACTCCCACAGCCTAAATAATGAAGCTTGTTTGTTTTGTTTTTTTGTCGGCTTGAACTTTGGACCAGAGAGGAGGCAACCAATTTGTAGCACCTGTGGTAATTGAAGGGTCTTTCATTACCAGTAAATATCCGTAGAAATCGTTTCTTTATCAGTACTATAAAATAACGCATTCACGGCCCCATGTTTTTTTTTTTTTCTTTTTTGGCTGTAACAGGACATGACCAACGGAATCTTAGATCCGCACACCACTTTTATAACGTAGCCACAGATAAAAATGCGAAACATGTTTGATGTTTGAACCAGAGACCCTCGAATTCTCATGTCCGATAAATTACTGCAAAGGAACGCTCTGGTTCTATACTTGGCACAAGATTAGTATTGTTTAAATAAAACTTTCTCTCATTGGAATATTTACATGTCCAGTTATTACAGCCATTTGTTAACCTGTTCATTAATTATTCGTTTTAAAACATCATCTGAATAATAACGATTTCTCTGTTTTCTTGGCTATATAAAAAACTTTCTATACATTAGACTGACAGCTTTTATGCATAATTTCAATAAAAATAAAACATATAGTGACTACATTAACATTTCCATATACACAACAATCTTATTTTTATAAAGTTAAAGAAACAGTTTTTCTGTTTTCAGTGGATCTTTTTTTGTCCACCGAAACAATGCAGTGCGCGCTTCTTTTTTAAATATATCCAAATAAAATTATTATGCATGTTGAAACGTTGATGTCGTTATCTTATATTTTATTTTTATTAAAGCCAAACTTTCGCGCAATTACATTTTTTATAGCTAATAAACACGTGGATCTTATGTTAAATTATAAAGTATTAATTTCCTTTAAACTATTCTCTTTAAATTGATATTGTCCCTTTTAAAATGCTTGACAATCTTGATTTTTGTAAGTTTTTATATTAACTACCTAACCAGAAACTTTTTTCGATTGCCCTACTATCAGTACTTTTTAGATTAACTAAATCATTTATTGAGCGAGGTTGGTCATACTTTAACAAGCTTTCCGATTTATTTCCAAATCTAACTATTTTCATGTAAAAAAATATGTTTTATTAATTATTAGTAAAAAGAAAAATATATTAAACTCATATATGTCTGTTTACAGACGTTTCGAGTTTTTGAGACAATGATTCTCACAATACTGGTTCCCCAGTGGGACAGCGAACTTGCAACTCTAAAATAAGTGGTTTGATTTCACGCAGTGGACACAGCAGATAACCAGATGTAGCTTTGCTCTAAAAACAAACAAACAAACCCATGACACAATGATTGACATACTAGGCTGTGGACTACTAGGCCTAAAGTTGAAGCCGAGATTCACGGCTGAACAAACTCCACAAGTTCAGCTGTGGTGAATAGTTATAGATAACTGTAGCGACCGTGTATCTTGCTACTTGGTAAAGAGTAAGCTCATAGGCGGCGGGTGATGTTAATTGGTTCTTCTTCATCTGGTCACCGATTATAGATTAAGGATAGTTATACTGACCTGGATTTTAACCCCATGTGCCGCATTAAGTGCCGTTCAGATTGAAAACACAAAATTATAATTTAGACAAAATCAAAAAATAAACTAGATATACTTCCGCACGGTCTCCAAAAGTGTTCTGTTTCAAGAGTAATCAAAATTAAAAGTAACAAATATTTTTATTTCTTGCTTCTCAAGTTAATATGCCATGCTGTTGTAGTCTACAGAGTGCATGATTCTTCTCGTGATTCATGGCATACGCACTTTTTACTGACGCCACGACAAGTACAACATTAATCGTCCCTTATGTGATATCATTTTAGTGTCTGCTGACTGACTCACAGACAACACACTACTGGATAGTGGTACGAGTGGTTAAAACATGTGACCCCTCTAGGCAGCCTTCGTCCTCCTTTCGGGGAAATTAATGTACTAATACACCAAAATTTCATTGAGTAGCTTATGCTTGGAACGCTATAAAAAATAAACTTGCTCTTTTATAAATTAAGATTGACTTGTACACTCAAATCAACTCTCAAATTAGTCAGTCGGTCAAAATATTCTATATTTGTGCATTGATCAAATCTTTTCATTGCAAATAAATATTATTAATGCAGTTACCTTTTTGTTTTATTAACTGATTTGCCATATAAAGGGCTGAATACTGAAAATGGCGTTATCCCCGTCAAGACTATGGTATTTGAGAGGTTCGACGTTGGATCCTCAGAAAGAGAAAAACCCAACTAGTTCCCCATCACATTGGAAGGACGCTGTCGAATTTCTGCAAACCCATCAAGCACAACGACAAGCCAGTAGATTGTTCCACCGAAGAGCGTGGCAATGGGTCCTTAGGGCAATCGTCTGCGCCATTGCATTGGCAGGCTTCGTATTTGACACCTATTTTTTCTTGAAGCATTATTTCGAATATTCTGTTGTTGTCAACCTCAATGTTGAAAACGAATGGAGACTGTATTTCCCAGCAGTAACAGTATGTAATTTGAACAGGTTAGTTAACACGTTAATTTTAGAAGTCTTATTATCTTATAGACAAATATTTGATGTTAAAGAAAAGTTAACATTACTGATTCACACTTTAGCCTGATATTACTCTTTTTCTGCTGATTAAAATTTAATATATATATAATCCAATTGCCATTTTATGTATGTGTAACGCTCATATTGTGAGTCATCTTTGATTTAAGCTAAAACATTCTTATTGATATTTTGAAGATGTGGTAGAAAATTGTTTTTATTTTCTCAATGTATAATTGTTTTCTTTTATAAAAGGGGGGGGGGTGAACAAAGCTTGCTGAGGCCCATAGATTTTTTTTCTTACAAAACTCTAGCCCGTCATCTTTTGAATAGCTCAAGATTTGGCGGTGGATGGTGTTCACTAACTGCTTTCCCAGTTTATCACTGATAGCTCTCAAGTAGCTTCGCAAGAGAACTGGCATCTATTTTTCCAGACATTCTCCATCAGTTTGTGGTGTTAGCAATGAAGGTTAGGTACACTTAACGCCAATGGTATGCCCACTCTTTATGGAAATGAAGCTCCAGCAGCAAAATGGCACTTCTGATTTCAAGACCTGTGTTTCTAATATTTTTGGTCATACAGTATACGTGTATTTAGATAAATAGTTTTTTTCCATTGCTACTAATTAAATTTGAGTGGGTGTTTTTTGTTGTTGTTTGTTGTTATCACATTAGTAGCAACATACAAAAGCGTAAATGTCTTAATTAAGAGTGCAGAAATTTAATTAAGATATTAGCTAGGGTTTTGAAATCAAACCTTATTAATCAGAAACAGAATGCATGCATGTTTTCAGTTTCTTCCTTGGTTTAAGAGGTACATTTAAATATCTAACGAATAAAAATGACTTGACTTTTCTTTTTTTTGAAAAGCCCCCCCCCCCCCAGTGACACAGCGGTGTGTCTGCGGACTTACAACGCTAGAATCCGGGTTTCAATACTCGTGGTGGGCAGAGCACAGATAGCCCATTGTGTAGCTTTGTGCTTAATTACAAACAAACAAAACTTTTTGAAAAGTGATTATATATTTGTAATAAAATGAAATAAAAACAGTTTTTTGTCAAGATACTTTTATTTGGCCAAACTGTTTTGCAAAACAATTAAATTGCCTACGTGATGCTCGTGTGTCATATTTAAATTCTGACTTACTTCAAGCAAGTACTTCACGCATAATGGGAGAAAAAGATTCATGAAGGCATGTTAAACGTGAGAAAATAACCTCCATATTGATGTAATAGCCAATAAAGATGTTGAATACTTTATAATAAAATGATTTTGGAGCCTCACCACGTCGTTACAGTCCTGTTGTGCTCTATCTGACGACCGTGCATCTCGAAGAAAGCCCTGCATCATTATTTCCATTAGAAAATGCTCTGCCGTAAGGCTGTCATGTACAAAACGCACCATTTCTTCCAAATTGCTCTCCACAATCCATATAGTTGCGAGGACGATGGATTACCAGTAGCTGCTAAAACAGTCCAATCACGCAAAAGTCCATAAGTGCTGCATCCAACAACTTGGCAGGTATTTCTTCGGATGGAATAGTGTGAATACCCGTCTCTTTCTGCAGCTACTTGGGGCATGCAATGATTGTATGGATATGTGGTGGAAGGAGCTTGTGTACACGTGACTTTTCCAGACGAATATTCTTCTTGACTATATTGCGTATTTTTGCATGGGGCACGGGGACAGCTTTTGCCACTAACATTTATGTTCATGGTTTTTCACCTGTTACAAACTGCCGAACTATGCTTACCACGGCTGGGTTACAGCTTGATGCAGTCTCTTTCTGTGTGGTCCTGGTGCCCCAAGTTGATCCATGTTTCTTTGTTTCTAATGCTTTTAAATACGAAGGGTATTTCTGTGTTGGAAATTCTAAGTTCCCGCTCTGAATAATCTTTATGATATGTGTGTATAAATATTTTGCGTCGGAAGGGGTTGTTATATACCCTTCCTAAAAAAAGAAAAAAAAACACCAGTTTTCGTCGGCATCAAACTACCTACAAGACGCTGAAACAATCTCAAAATGTAATTCTGATACATGCCACTTCACCGTAACTTGATATCAGCTGGGGTTATCTCGTGGCTTGCTGATTTGCACATTCAAAATCGATTTAAAATAAGGTACTCAGCTCTATGTATTTGTCACATTACCATTGGTAGTTCAAGGATATTTATGTTTTGTATATTTTTCTCGTTATTAAACTAAAAGCGTGTGAAATAAAATACAAGCATAATGAATAACAATTTTACAAGAAAACAAATGGCGTCGCTCTTTCTATTTTTCTCCTGTGTTTATTTTCCTGTTCATTGAAATATAAAATAATTTATTAACTTTAACTTTACTCCAAAATATGTTTCCTGCTTTTTATTTAGCCCCCCCCCCCCAGCAGCTCAGCAATAAGTCTGGAGGCTTCTAACGCTAAAAACCTGGTTTCGATACTCGTAGAGGGCACAACACAAATAGCTATTTAAGTAGCTTTGTGCTTAACAACAAAACAAACAAGCTTTTTTTATTTTATGCCTTCTTAAACATTGATAAGCAACAATAACTAGTTGAAAGTTAACAATTTCATCAGTTTCTAAATCAAAGATTAAATTTTATATGAAATTGCCCATAGTGGTTAAACAGTAAGCTTCAGGGCTTATAATATTAAAATTATAGGTTCGATCCCCTTGGTAAGCACAGCAAAAGTAGCCCATTGTGCGGCCTTGTTCGCGAAAAAACAGATAAACAAGCCTTTATATAAAATCCAATACATCATTTAATTCACAACCAAGTAACATAACATTTTAAATTGGGATGTTCTTTTCCCATAAAGACAAACTAAAGGTAAAAAAATTATGGTACCAATATTTGAATCAACTTTGTACTTCAACGGAAAAACTATCTCAAATAAAATTCAGAAACTTTAAGTGTACACAGCTAATGAATATAATATAAATGTATAATTGTATTGCTCTGTCATTTTAAGCTTTGTGTTTTATTACTGACTGCTAAAGTACGAGTTTATATTCCTTTGTTTGTTATTGACAGAAATATTACCCACAGTTTGCTCTTTAATACGTTTTAACATTAAACTTATTAGCTTTCCTCACGAAAAGATATAGTTTCAGAGAAAAACGAACGAGATGTTACAGTAATATCTTATCTAAAAATAAAATTAGTCAACAAGCACAAACAAATTAATTTTTTAAACTTCTGTTGTCTCGTGTGACATTTAAATTTCTGTCATGTATATATAAATGTTTTTATAAGAATTTACATTACTTTCTGTTTTTACTCTTTGTTTAATATTTTATATATAAGCACAAATGTCTCTTTCTCTCTCTCTGTGTGGGTCTGTTCCTTATGCACGGCCACATCTTTAAAGCTACAAACTCCAAACTCGGAGTACAGATAAAACTTTGTGTGGGAAGTGACATGGGTTATGTGACCGCGGTCTCAGAGGTCATTTCGAGGCCGCAAATTGAGGCCAAAGTGACCAATATAGCAATGTTTGGAAAACAGGACGACCAATTGGTCTTGAATTTAAAAGGCCGGACTTTTTGGTAATGTGTGATCAAGAAGGCTATTACTTACGTTTCTTCTCTGTGTGAGGACTTCTCCCAATCATTCTATCCATAATCAATTATGTGCTAACACGATTTAAAAACTCTGTGGAGCCTTCATTTACTTCTCTGTTCATTCTCTCTCTTTGCTCTCCCCCTCCCCTCTCTCTCTTTCTTCTACACATACATGCCTACTCTCTAATTCCCCTTAACTGAAAAAAAGACTGGTTCTTTCTCTCGAACATGCGCTCACACTCCCTCAAATAAATAGGCTTGCTTTAGTCATATCTTATGCTTTGCTTACGTGTACTCGCAAGAAACAGCTATACGATGACTTTACAAAAACGTTTGTATCGGTAAATGTTCATTTACGTTGTGTTGCAACGAGAAGAGAATAAATCCATTCTTCATTAAATGGAAAGATAATAAAATCAGTATATGCTGCAAATGACATTTTACCACATAGGAGAAATCAGAACACCAGAAGTTAGGGAATTTTGTTTTGGAAACTTGAAATGTCATGCAAAGCTCATGCAAGAAGCAGGAGCAATGTACCCGGTTTTGCTTTGATTAAAATAGCTTTAGCAAATTTTTATTTTTTTTTCGGACGTTGTTATTTTTATTGATTTTTAATCAAAATATTTAGTTAAGTAAATTAGTATAGTTGATTTAATCAAAACAACTCAGGATATTTAAAGCATCCAAACAACGCCGAGTACTCTGCTAGTATATTTATTATATGATTTTTAAGTGTTTTTTTCATTAAAAGATATATTTCAGTTTTCTTATTACTTCTTGTTTAATATATTCATTATACAAATTGTTGTTTTTACAAAAAGTTACGTTGCAGTTCTCTTCTTACTTTGGTTTAATACGTTGTTGTAACATGTCCTATCGTTGGGTAGGTTGTTTTGGAATATTTGGTAAAAACAATGCCAAGTTCAGTCCACGTAACGATAACGAATTAATATATTTCTTTAGTAACGTTTGTTACAGGCTACATTCACTCTAGGCCTAACTTCACAAAAAAAACTTTACCACAGAAACTTCTAAACTAATAAATGCATATCTTACTTATAAGCTTACTTGATTGCAAATACGCTAATTGAATTACAGATGCACAAACCCTCATTGTCTAACTCACTAACTGATACTGAACTGAATCGCTCATTAACTAAATAATTCACTTAATCTGGTATTTATATTGTACTCTTTATTTCTAAATAGTACAGGAAATTTCTAAATTCCAAAGAGGTCTTAACCTTCATGAAGTTTCTAGAGTTTACGTCATTGTGAAATCACTGATAATCTCCATCTAGCAAACAAACATCAAAAATGAAATATTAAAAATATAGCTTACTACAAATATATTCCAATATTATATTTTTTGCTAACAGATTTTACCATATTCTTCCTTCTTGGTTATTTAACTGATTTCTTGTATGAATTTTAATGCTAATTTTTTTTTTATAAAAGGTATATTTTACTATTCTTTTCTGGATATTCAACCTATATATCGTTTGAATTTTTTTAAATAATTGTTTTTATAAAAAGTTATATAACAATTTTCATCTAACTTTTTTTTTTTGATGTATTATATGAATTTTAAATGCTAATGGCTTTCATAAAAATATTTACTGTTTTCTTCTGACTCTTCTTTTCTGGTTGCTTAATCAATTTATTGTGTGATTTTTATAAACTAATTGTTTTTATAAAAATTTCATTATAGTGTTCTTTGTACTCTGCGTTTCGTACATTTATGTATAAATTTTTTATGCTTCTTCATTCAATTTACTGCTGTAAAAATGGTAAACGTAAAAATATATAATCTAAGGTTTTTAAAACTGGTACATCTTTTTCCCACTTATGATTTTGGAATAGGACCTTAAATTCTGAATTCATGAGTAAATCAGAAATAATATATTTTGTACTCAAAACGTGACCCAGATTCATCTGGATCTGGCACTGATGTTCTTGTGCTCCGGCACAGTTAAGAGCACTGTTAAACATCACATAAATGATGGTTCTATTTGTATGTAAAGCCACTATCATCATTACGTTACTTCTATCACGGTCATGTCCATTGATGTTCAACGTTGAGCATTTGCATTGGCACACGCATTGCTTCATTTGGAAAGTAGACAGTCTTACATTACACAAATAGCCCAATATATTCTAATGCTTGTTCAATAGGTAAAACATTTAGTACGTAATTAACATTAACACCCTAATAATACATTGTTAATACACCACACAAATGATATGGTTAAGTAAGTGTAGCAGTAAGTGACTGATCGCTATAGTTTATAGGATAGAAAAATTGGGACTTCTTTCCATCAGGTATGATATAGCGATCTAGTGAACTTACTAGTTCGTTTTTGTTTTTCTGAAAGTAGGTGACCGTTCTATTTAGGAGTCTGTCGTAGAGTGGCTTATGTTCGCATAACTGTGTAGGAAAAGTGGACTTGTTATGCGTGAAACTTTATATACTGTAGTGAAAACTTAGTTTTGTATAGTTTATAATTTCTGCTTAGTTACGTGTGGTGTAGCGTTAATCCAAGCTGAGCAGGCATATTCTATTACTGACCGTGTGTACTGTTAATATGTTTCTCGGTTATATGTCGGCGTTATTTCCAGTAGACTACATGTTAGTTTCGAGTCGTAAGTAAGTCCTAAAACTTTTGCTGATGTAGCAGTCTGGAGAAGGGTTTCATCTAGGTCAATCTTGGGTTTGTTTTTACCAGCTTTATTGAATTTTGAGAATATAGCGACCCGTGTTTTTGATACATCAATTGTTATTCCTTTTCTTTTGGCAGTATTTAGTTACGTCATTAATGACGTGTTGTCAATTTGTGAACTCATTCAAATTTCTACATAATCCGTGAACTTAGAAGCAAAACAGAAATTTGTGTCAGTTAGTGGCTCATCACTTACATGATGAAGAGTATGGGTTAACTACCCCTCCTTAAGGGACACCGGCCTCAGGGGTAAAATACTTTGAGTATGTGCCTTCTACATTTACTATATATTTTCTATTATCTAAGAAATTGGACAACCAGCGAATAATTCCTCGCGGTAATTCCATCTGTAACATCCGGAACCTTAGACCTGAATGATAAATTGTATCGAAAACCTTCTCTAGATCGAGCAGGCAGACGACCGTACATTTTATTATTATTATTATTGAAACTATCTATTATTGTTTCAAGTAGTTTAATTAAATGATCAGTGGTTTGTCGAAATTTTCTGAAACCGTTTTTCGCTTCTGGTAATTTTGAATTTCTTTCAAGATGTATATTTAATCTGTTATCAAAAATATACTTATTCATCTTCATCGGGGCCAGGTTCAGCGTTGACCTCTTACTGAATCTTAGGTAATAATCTTTGTTACGTTGTTGCATTACTCACAGTATCTTACATTTTGTTCATGGTCCGCAGTTTTAATCAACCAAATTGTATCGAAAGTTTGAATTCCACGCAAAGCGCCATCTATACTAGTTGCACCAGGCCTAGTAGTTAGGGTGCTCGACTCACATCTGCGGGGTGCGGTATTGAAACCCACCAAACATGCTCGCACTTTCAGCCATGGGAGAATTATAATGTAACGGTCAATCCCACTATCCGTGGGTAAGGAGTAGTCCAAGAATTGACGGTGAACGGTTTCTAGTCTCTCACTCAATACTAATGACTGTTGTAAACAAGTAAAATAGTTTTTTATAAGCTCTCAGATATATATTTTTAATATTTTAAACTTTTTCAACTGTTGGTTCGCGAGTGATGAGATAATAAGTTGAGAAGAGTAATCTTTGAAACAGATTGTGTTTTTAAAGCTTTCGTTATTTTTAACCTTACCTGTGCAAATAATCTAAAATGTAACTTCATCACACACACATAGAATATCAAGTCAACCAGCTATCGTGTTTGGTGATTATTTTTGCATGGCTAATTAATTAGTTATTGTACTAGAAGATAAATAAAATGTACAAAAAAGACGACATAGACACACATGTATATTTTTATTTACTCGTCTACAGATTACGAAGAAGTGCCTTTAATGACAATGACGATAAATGCCAAGAAAAGTACAACATTACCAAGAAACAATGCCGTGATATGTTAAACATGGATAACCGCATTATCAATGGTTTAGTGACAAAATCAAATAGATTTATCTTATCAACTGCGGTAAGAACGAATTTCATACTAACTTCTTTTATAACTTTACACGCATAATTATTGTTAGAAAAACTAACACTTTGATGTATGGCCTATATATAGCAGCATTTTGACTAGGTAAGATTTTTTGAGCTATAATAAAATAAAGAGATTTTTGGTGTTTTGAAATGTTTCATTAGTTTAGTTGAGGCCCCCCAGTGGCACAGCGGTATGTCTGCGGACTTACAACGCTAGAAACCGGGTTTCGATACCCGCGGTGGG